TATATATATATATACACATGTGACTTAGATTATACGTGCGATAAACAAATTTCAAATTTCTTCATCGAAAATAAAAGTATCTTTTGAAATTTTGTTTCTTCAAATTGTCGAGAAAAGTTAAATTGAAAACTGATTTTTTTTTCGTAAGAGAAATTTAGCATCACTAAAATTTAAACCCCTTAAAAGAGAATTTTATTTCAGAAAGCTACTGCTTTTATTATAAACAAATTTAAAAAAACAAGTGCATTTATTTCTTATAGGATATTTCTAGAATTTTTGAGCAAGTAAAAAATTACATGGACGCCCATAAAACAGCTTACCTGATATTTTTTACTGTAAGTAAAAGTCATCAGTTCCATTCGAACAAACAACAATTTTATTCTTGTAACACAACTGCAAATAAAGAAAATTCTACATAAATTTTATTAAACACTTACAGTTGTTATTTTCCATACAAATATTTCAATATTACACGAACTGGAGGCTAATAATAATTACTTCAAGTCATTACCTTGCTTAATTAATAAACATTTATAATATTTAAAATAAAAAAGTATGCATACTCAGTTGTCGGAAAATAATATTTAATCGAGAAAAACACAACATTGAAATATAACGAATTACTTCTCTAAAAAACGGGACTGAAGCATCAATCAAGCCGCAAGTATCAATTATCTTAAGTGGCACATTCTATATCTTACACAAAGATTTCAATTCTTTCACTATATATTTCTTACTTATCATAAAGACAGGTACGAAGCTCTGTAGAACGCTAACTAATTATGCACCGAAGTTGTCAGGTACAAAAAATAAAAATATATGACGGTTACAATAAAATGCATAAACAAATAATAAATCTAAGCAAAAGACGTAAAGGAGAAAGAGTTATATTTCAACAAATTTGATGTGCGATACGGTGCTGTATTTAATTAACTTGACGTTAATTAATATTCCAACTTATGTGAAGAAACTTAGCTTTACTTTAACCCACCATTTTGCTTATAAACAATCAGCTGATCCTGTCATCATAGGTTTAATGTGTGGGTATCTGAGATCTTCTTCAAGTGCAAGTACCCTATTGTAAAATGGTTAATTAGTTTAGATACCTATTTATATAAGTTAAATTATAACAAATTGCCCATCAAATGATGAATTTCATAAAATACTTTAGAATAAATAGAAAAACACTACTTTTAGTTTATTTTTTGATAACTTTTTATTAATTTTATACTGATGACAGTCTAAGAAATCTGAATCTTCATTTAAGAAAACTGGATATCGAGTGATTTATTTGTCCATTGAAAATGCACAGACCCATCATTATTTTAATCTGATTACTTTTAAACTTTTTATATATTGATTTACTATTTGCATGTACACGTATTGAATGTTTATATTTGATAGTGTAGGTAAGAAATGAAGCCTATATGGATGCTGACTTGCAGTAATTTCAATCTTTTATGTTAGTTTATTAAATAAATGAGCAAAATTATCTATACTCACTTTTTCCTCTTTGATCCCACCTGGAAATTAATAACAGCCTAATTTAATTAAAATTCGCTGAATTTTAAAAATGCATTGAGCTCAGACTGATTTTAGAATAGAGCGCATAAGTTTTTTAGAAGAGAAATAAATGCAAAGAAAACTGCTGATAAAAATTGATGAGGAAATAATAATTAGTCGAGAAAATTACGAGGATGTGATAGAATAATGAGTACCATGAGATGACCACGATCAATAAACATCATTTTAGATACCGAAAATGCTGTGCTTAGATTTGATATTAAAATTATTTGGAGGAAAAGAGTCAATATATTTTGATCAAACACATGCCCATTCTCCAAACGTAAATGAAAACCACATTTGAAAATGAAAATTAAAGTAATAAAAACAAAAAGAGGAAAATGGTAAAAAGCAATAAAGGTAAATGAAGGTAAAAGTAGGTAAGAGATAAAGAACAAAATTAGATAAAGTTAAAAAAATTATAGATAAAGGTAAAAAAATAATTAGAGAAGTTCTCTTTGGCAATGTAGCGTTTTCATTGTCAAATTTATTTTGTTTCCTTCATTTTCGTCTGGTTAGTTTTGAGAATGAGCTTCTGTTTTCAAGAGCTCAAAACAAGCAGTCTTCTTCCAACTTAATAGTTTTTGAAACTAATAGAATTTTTTACAGCATCAAGTATGACTTTTCGCTTCAGTTTTATTTTATTTATTTATTTATTTATTTATGTATTTGATTTTTAGTTTTGGTATTTCAAATTATTCATTTCAATACCAACACAATCTTTTAATGAGTTGCACCTCTAAGTGCATTTTAATAAATGTAATAATGCAAAGCCACCCAGAAGGGGAAAAAATTCTGGAAAAAATACGTAATAAATTCTAATTCAGAAAGAAATATTTAAGCAGAACGAGAGTAAAGGTATCAATTTATCTAAAATTATAAACTTTATAACTTTTTACCTAAAAGGATAAAAAAAGAATCGGAAAAAAAGGTTATTGAATAAGTGTCTTAAGATATAAAACATCAGAACTTAATAATTTGTGACAGGTATAAAAAAAAAGTTAGTTAAAATCTTAATTGATAATTTCTCTTCTAAACCATGTGTTTATACGCTTAATAATATAAAGGCAACACAAAAAGCAACTATTCGAAAAAAAGAAGAACAAAGGAAATAACGTACTATGTCCAGTTTCGGCTCATGCAGTTACAAAATAGTCATACTACAAGTACTCATTTTCGAGTTTCGAGAGTTATGTACTGATCATATAGATTACTGAAGCAGTATTTTTTTAAGACAACAATGCTAGGCTGAACGGTTACTTATAGTAAAGTATTTCTCGGTACTCATATTGATCTACCAAAATTATATTTCATTGCTATTCTACAGCAGGAAGAAAAAGATAAAATAAAATTACATACTTCTGTGGAGGAATATACATATTCTTCGACTTTAATTTCAATATCTTCTTCACTGTAATTGAAATTTAAACAAGTATTTTTATTAAAAACAATCTGAAGAAGCAAGAAGCTACATTAACAGGAAATCTGTGGACACAAAACGGAATGTGTGCACACATGCCCAATTAACAATTCTTAAACAATGCAATCAAAATTTGGTGCAAAATCATTCGAAGACACGAAGTTTGTCACTGTTTATTCTTTAACTCCCGACCACTAATTCGTTCGCTGTAGCCCCAAAACGAGTTTTTCTTAAAAAATAGCACAACGCACAGCTGCAATTTAAAATGCAGATGGCGAATTTTCATATTATCATTAGGAGAATCTAATTTTTGCTAGCTTTCAGTTCTATTCAATCGAATTTCATTGAAAATTAAATCACGTGCGAAATTGATTTAATCGCTCGTTATATTGAATTCAACTGGACGGCTAGAAGTGCGTCTTCGAAGTTGTAGTTTTCATTTTAAAACTTAACATACAGATCACGAGCGATTCTCAACAGCTATGGCACCCTCTCCATACACAGCACAAATGACACGAGCAGTTTTTACGGTATTAGACTCTTGATCAACAACGGCAACAAAAAAACGTGTAAATAATGTTCTCATCTTGGCAATCAATTTTAATGATCTGAAACGAAACTAAAATTCACTCGAGCAAGAAAATAGATTCTGGTCGAACAAAACACCCTCTTTCGAATTATCTAAAACATTATGCCAAAAATACTTGATGACATGCGGAATGATAAAATTCTATTTTATTTTATAACCGTCGTTGAACAGCCGACAGCCGCTGAGAACACAAAGATAGTCCTCAAGTCAATAGGTTCCTTAAAAAAAGAGCTACGTTACCGTGGTATTAGATACAAGCATGAATAAAACCAGGTAAAATTAGTTCAAACATAGTTTTCATATCAAATAAGGACTTTCCTAAATTGTACTTTTTCTTCCTAAAGCAACTTGTTTTAGCTAATTTTTCTTGCAAATTGAATCAACATTTCAAAATAGTGAATAATGTAAAGATAGCAAAAATTAAATTTGAAAAAATAAATATCGACTTACTAACAGGCTTGTTGACAGTTTTCTAAACACAGTGAATAAAAATCATCATAAGGCTCTAAACAAAAGAAATAAGAAGAAGAAGAAGGTTAATAAACAATGACTTAATTTATCATTATTTAACAAGGTTATCAAAAATTTCTCTAAATGCAATTCAAAACTAATCCAGAGTTGAAATTAGATATGTTGAGGTATTCAGATTTGTTCGTATTCCAAATGCATGAAATACGACTACTTTTGTAAAATGATTACACACTTAAAGATATTCACGTATTACTAAAAAAAAAAAAAAAACTAAAAAAAATTTGAAAATGGTAGAAAACTCCCCTCTTCTTGCTCGCTAACCCTCGTATTTGCTTCCAATTTATTATTTCCCCTTCCCCTTAAACGACAATATTTTTCACAAAAGCACAGAATATTTTGTTTTCAAAATTTACAATTATGTTAGCATATTAAACATACCGAAATATAAATTTCAAACCAAAATTTACGTTGAATTTCCAAATAAAAGTGGCTCTTTCAGCATGTCACATTGAAGCTCCGTAGTTGCATTTCAGAGGGATTGACCAAGCATGGTATTTTTCCCAAGAAAATTAAAAGTTAATAGTTCTCGAATAAGTTGTCGAATCTTAATTTCTTTTCTTTTTTTTTTTTTTTCTTTTTTTTTCTTTAAATTTCGTCGTACCCCTTGTACTTTTTTCTACATACCATCATACTTTCACGTTTCTGAAACTTACAGATTTTGTAAGAGAAAGAAAAATTTAACATAAAACAAGTGATAAAAATTCATGAAAAAAAAGCTTAAAATAGCAATAACTTTCGAACGAATTAGAATTTCAAAAAAATTATGTGTTTTGTGTTCATAAGCAAATATTATTCCTTCAAAATAGTTTCAACTCTTGAATTGCATTCTTGCGACCTATAGAGTAGCCTATAAGGTTCCTACACGGTTAACAGTTAATAATTCTGGAACAAATAATTGAATATTAAATAATTTTATTCCGTTGTTTTACAACACTCTAGTGTAATTTCAAATTTCTAAATTTTAGAATTTCTGAGTTACAAAACAAAGTAACATTAACTTGAACACTTGAAACAATGGTGGCGGTTACGATTTTTTTATATGATTTTTATACTGGCTATTTTTCAATGATCACGCTTAATATGTGCTTACATATTAAAAATAAAGTAAAAAATATCATTATGGTATATTAAGAGGAGTGCCTCAAGTTTCAGCAGGCAATTAACAGGTTTTGTTTTTTTATGCAATTATGATTATCGAAGTGTAAAGAAAGGATTGAAAGCATCAAAAAGTTGCTAATTTATCTTGTTAGTTTGAAATGCATTCAACTATCACTCTCTAGGTTAATCTTCCAATTAACTGGTATTAAATGATTTTTATCCCTCTTTTGCTCTCATTGTACTCAATAGGGATTGATAAGTGTATGGAAACGTTTTATTTCCTAATCACTAAAATATTTATTTCTAATATGTATGCTTTTTGCCTCATTTTTGACAAAACTCGTAAAAATACATATTCAGGGTGGTCGTAATCGAACATCCTGCATATTCCAGTAACCATGTGAATAACAAAAATTTGAATTACCTTTGAAGCAGAAAAGTTCGTTTTCAGTAGGGTATGACACATATACTGGATTGAAACATCCATACTTTGTAATGGATTTGTTCAAAACACACTCGTCTATGCACATCTGGCGAAAGAGAAGGAAAAAATAGGATCTGTTTATAATAAATTTCATCTATTTATTTTCAATTTTATATTTCATTTTAGTATCATAAATATATAGAGCTCGCAATGAGTTTCATTTTAAATTGAATTATCATACACAATTTGAATAGAGAAATATTTTATTTATTTAATAGTGTAGTTCTCTGACACTTAGCATAAAACAGTTTACTCTGTGGAAAAAATTTGGAGAATTCCCATCCAAGCTGTAATTTAATATTTTCACTTGCCAAACGGATTATAATATTAAGCACAATTTGTGCACGCAACTCATTGTGTATGAAATTGATCGATAAGTTCCTAATCATTTAACGAATCTCTTTAAGGTTGTTTTTCGAAGTCTCCGTTGAAATATGAAATTATGCTTTTTTGCGAATAATATGCTATTTTTATGACTGATAAAAGTTTCAAACTGTTACTAAAAATTGCACCCCGACAACAATGGATAACTGCAAAATCATCATTAGATTTTTATCTATAGTTAAATTTGAAGTAAAAAATAAAAATAAAACATTTATGAGTTGTGAATGCCTCACTGGGAAGTTAAAAAATAAGCTGTTTTAATTTCCAGTCAATACAAAATATATATCAGCTATATCGACGTCAAAGAAGAAAAAAAATTTCGGTATTTTTTTTTCTTTTTTCCTTTTTAAAAAAAATTTAAAAGTGTGAAGCAAAACGCAGAAATCTATTTGCCAAATAGGGTTAGTTTTCTTCTGGAGAATCCAAATCTGCAATAAAAATTAGGGGGTAGTATATTTAAGATTTCAAAGTTGCCCCTGAAGAGGAATATCGAGTTTTGTATCATTGGATAGCTTGCATAGCTATCTAATGATAGCGAGTTTTGGATCGTTGAATAGCTTTTAAGAAAATTCTGAATGCCTCTGTTTTCACAATTTCGATTCATATATTTTTCGAGATATTTGACAGTGCTCAAACTTTTTTTGCACCCTGAATATTACAGATGCTTTTATTTTCAAATACAAATTAATGTATGTATATTTCTTATACTATTACTTATTACCTGTAATATGCTTCAATTAAACTCTGGAAAAACTATGAAAGGCATGTTTATAGTATACTATAAAAATGAATACAACAGGGTATAATCCGCTGACGATTTTACTTGCTAAAAGAACCGTATTTTGATCAGCATCATTACCCAGTCTATTCCTTCATCACCGCCTTAATACATGTTGTTGGAATCCTAGTCAAAAATCAAGATAATTGCCAAAAATTAACATCGATGAGAAAACATGAGAAAATAAAAGCGCTATCGAAATCAACCGAATCACAACTAAGGAAGGCGGGACTGAAAGTTTCAGTGAACCTGTTTAATTACCGGAGGAAACAAAGAGAAATTGAAAGGTAATTACTCCTCCAAGTTTTATATGGCAATCAAACTAGTTTTGTTGTTTGTCCTCCCAATTTCTTCACTAGAAATTCTACAATTTCTAAATTGTTCTTTCCTTCGCTGTACCAATTTGTGACCCACTAATTTGCATATTTTTTCTTTCATAATTTTCAATGATTTTAAACATTTAAAAATATACATTTAGGGTGGCAGATGCGAAAACCTGTATTGGAAAGAAGCATTCCCATAAATGTTCTCGTTTTCAAAAGCACGACACGAATAGTGAGATAATCAGTGGTAGCTCATAGGATTGAGCGTTCGCCTTAAGTGTTATAGCTTGCAATGAGTTGAACCGGGTTCGATTCCCAGCGATGGCAGGTTGTTACGAATTCCGCACCCGGCTCGCACCAAATACAGTTCTGATATAAAATATCCTCAGTGCTAGACAAATTAGGGGTTAGAGTCCCCTTGCCATGAGTGATTTTCATGGTTTTTCTTTCCATGTAACGCAAATGCGGATTAGTTCTATCTAAAAGTCCACGAAGGCAAATTTCTCCCAATACTTGATCCATCCATGAATTCCTTGGCTTCTAAATTTCAAAATTACAAGGCTGCGGAGTTGAATATTAGTAGCCGTAAACCCAAAATTAGAGCGGCTGTTCAACGATGGTTATAAAATAAAATAAAATGGTAAAAAACACTCGGGAAAAAACTTCTCGACTTCTGCCTGTTTTGCTACACTGCTTTTACCAAATTAAGTTCCCAAGATTGTCACGGGGTATTAGATTCCTTGACATTTACCTGATTTTCTCATGCTTTTGTGACCATTCGGTGTGAAGCAACATTAATTATAGTATTTATACCGTTATAATCAAGTATTATTTATATTTGTTTAAAAAACGTCAAACCTTTTGATTAAGAGGCCCAATTCCACCACGATCTCTCCATAAGCTTTCATAATCAGTGCAGTTTGTTCTGTAAGGTGCCGGCAAAAGATATTTTACAGTCTGAAAAAACATGTATTTATTTAAATCGAAGTCTTCTCGACTGATTGACAGTTAATTAAAATTTCAATTAAATATTTCTTTGAATTATATGAAAGTGAGTAAACAGTAGAAAGCATCTCAAACATTGAATGTTAGTCATGATTTAATCAAATATACTCTGCATAAAATAGTTGTATTTTTTCCCAAAAATTTAAATGCTCGTTACACCTTATAACAATTATCAAATTAACGAAACTCTAAATTAAATATCGTTATTTCTCAAACGCAGAATCATTAAAATGTTTCTTTGGTAAAAAATAATTTTTATTTTAAATATTAATTATAAATTTTATTGTAAACTTTAATTCCTATATTCCTATATTAAATATCAGTTTTAAAAATTGGAAGAAACCATTGGAATAAAAAGTAAATTCTAAAAGAAAGCAAAGAATGCTCCAGTTTATAGCTACCTCCACAATCACTCAATTTAAATTTATAGCTCCCTTTAAATTGACATTTCCTTACAAAGTTGTTTATTTGTTTTTCCAAATACGTGTTGATAATCGTTTCTTATAATAATTGCACGAAATATCATTACGGCCTAAAAAATATTTAAAAATTTAGAGTTTTATTTATTTGTAGGATTCATGATGGAACTAACACATATTTAGAAGCAAATCTATTTAAAAAAATTTAAAAACTAAAGTGGAATATGAATGTGAGATCTAAAATGGATGCCACTTAGCTGTGCGAAGGTTTATTTAGTATAAATTTACAGAACATCGCTAATGTAAATTTGTATTTACTTTAAGTGAAAAATATCTATTAATTGAATTTTTGGGGTAACACGTTAACTTATCACAACATTTTTAAAAACTCAGACTATTCTGATCATTCAAACAATGCCAGTAAATACTAAAAGTAATATTTTGTAGGGAGGGGGGGGAGAGAATCAAACACAAATGTATGTACAGTGCACAAAAAAAAACCCTGAATAATTTTAGATCTATTCAGAAGTACGTTTTTTAAGTGCGTTTTTGTGTCTAATTTCGTAACTTAAAATATCGTCTGCACAATTAGAATGTTTGAGGCTACCCCCTCGAACCATTAAGATTGAACGTAAAGATCCGATAATTAAAACAAAAGTTATTCAGGGTGGTCCATTTCTTTTTCTTTCTTTTATTGGCGCCTTGTACGCTGCCTGCCATTAAAATTGCTATACCAGAAAGGAAGGCAAAAAGCAAAATGGTATGTATTGTACGCATATTGCGCTATATTAGAATGAGCAAATGATTAAGTTAACAGGTTTTTATTTCGTATAGATTATAAATCAGCTCCAAAGTATTGACTGTAATAACAGCTTTTATCCCTCTGAACAAAGACAGAGGGGTAAAAGTTTGTGATACAATTCAAACAGAGATTGAATGCCAACTTCGGGACAATGCATCTTTAACAACACGCTTTCATTTGTTCAAAGATCATGAGAACGTGCTGGCCATGCTGACAGTCGGATATCTTTTGTATCAAGGAAGATCAAGACAGTACGGTAAACACGCAGTCGTGCATTTTTCTGTTTGTGGTGCAGCGTCAAGGGTAGCAAAAGCCTTGATTGCCACATAGGTGATTCATACTGCGCAGTAGTCGAACTGTTTGAGCACAAACTTCTCATATTACTAACGACTGCGTTTCCATAGTGTAATGTGGCTGTGCAACCAATTATGACCTGGCGAATAAGATAACTATCTTCTTGGCTATTAGCGATAGAGGGCAGCTTAAATTCAGCACTACGTACAAATGACACTCCTAAACCAATCAATTCCATTTTTTTTTCGTGCACAGTTTAGGGTTCTATTAGCCAATGCGAACAGCAATAATGCAGTATGGTAAACAGCAGCCCTGATAGGCTATAATCTTTCTTTAATCAAAGTCAGGCACATACTGGGAGTATCATTTCTTCTTCTCACATTTGGAGATTAGGAGAAAAAAATTAGAACCTCGTCATCATTTCAATTTTAAAATTTATTGTTTTACTGGCATACATTAAAAGAACTTTCTTAAAGGGTGAAAAAATAAATCGATAAATAGATTACTTTCTTTAGATACATGTTGTAAGTAGAGCATGGTTGAATGGAAAAACCAGTGGTAAATGGATCCACTTTCATGAACGGGGAATGCACTGCCATTTGGATTGCTAGTGGAGTCGCCGTGTAAAAGTTGTCATCTGTTATACTAACGCTAATTTCAAAAACTGAAAGAGAAGTATCAATGAATAATCGGTGGGAAAATGAATCACACTTTTAAATGTATAACCCATAAGTCTAGTTTCTATTTATTTTATTTTCGATGAAAGTTTTGGTCGTGTCCCGAAGGAAACCGTAAAATAAAACGACTCATTAATTAATTTTTAGAATTTAATGGTACCCAGCAATAGATGGAATAAAGATAACAGTTCGAGAAGTTTTAGCCGCTAGCAGGAGTATTGGAGCGAGAAACAGCTGTTATTTCTGTAATTACTAATTTTTGCTTATGTATAAAAAAAAGGTTATTTGATTATGTTTCCTTTGCTGACTGCGTTAAAATCTCATCTGGAGTCTTTATTAACGGTATTATGCAACTGAGTTTGAGATATTGCTCAGAGTAATTTGCATCCACCGATCATTCAATCTCATTATCATCATTTGAAAAATTTAAAAATATTAAATTATGCAATGTTTACTAGCAAATAACATTTCTTAGGTGAATAGAAGCATGAAGCATGAAAAACAGATATTAAAACTTACAATCCCTTTCATTAACAGTTCTTAAAACAGCAGAGCTATTTTCCCAGAGTGTGTTAAAGGCGAAACAGTTCGTAGGTAGGTGCTGAAAATTAAAGACGGAAACTTGTTGAGGGCTGAAAAACAACAAAAAACAAAAAGGATAAATCAATTTTATTAGATATATAAAATATTTAGGATTTTGAAATATAAAATATTTCAAAGGATTTTCTTAAATACGTGTCTCTATAAATTTGAATAATTTAAAATCAACAGTGATAGAAATGAAAAAAATAGCTATGTATTAAAAGGCAAAATTAAAGGAAAAGTGGTACTAATTCGTTTAGGTGAAACGTTACTATTACTGTTATAACGTTACGTCAGTTACTATTACTGACGCCAATGATGCTTAATTAGTTTTAATAGATACATATTGAAATAAGCTACGTAATAAAATGAAAAATTAATAGCAAAAAGATACTTATTTGTTATGAGGAACTGTACAAAAACGCCATATTATTTTTGAAGTCAATGCTTAGTTAATTTTGATAGATATTAATTGAATTCGTATTAATTGAAAAAAAAAGCTATGAGCTAAAAAGCAAAGTGAATAGAAAAAAGTGCTTATTTGTTTAGGGAACCATAAATAATCGTACTAAAATTTAAGCCGATGACGCTCATTTAATTTTGGTATTACGTATGACTGGTACTATGGTAATATGCGCAGTTTTAATATGGAATTTTAAACGAATTTTCCTTAATTTCAGAATAATTGTTTTTCAGTGTAGCAAAGATAGTGTAGAATTGAAAGAAATTATTTCCTTTATTATTTATTAATATTTTAAATAGTATATTAAAGGTCAGATAGAGAAATGCTCCTGCTCTGAAGTCCTTATCGAAGTTTTTATAAGAATGTTATTTGTTTTTAAAATTTCGAGTTAATTTACTACCACTGATGAATGTATTTCGCACAAATGTTAGAGGGTATGTAAATAGGTATCATACACACTGTTATAAGTACACAGTATTTTAATAGTGTATTTGGTGATTATTAAAAANTAGATAAATAGATTACTTTTTTTAGATACATGTTGTAAGTAGAGCATGGTTGAATGGAAAAACCAGTGGTAAATGGATCCACTTTCATGAACGGGGAATGCACTGCCATTTGAATTGCCAGTGGAGTCGCCGTGTAAAAGTTGTCATCTGTTATACTAACGCTAATTTCAAAAACTGAAAGAGAAGTATCAATGAATAATCGGGGGGAAATGAATCACACTTTAAAATTTATAACTTATAAGTCTAGTTTCTATTTATTTTATTTTCGATGAAAATTTTGGTCGTGCCCCGAAGGAAATCGTAAAATAAAACGACTCATTAATTAATTCTTAGAATTTAATGGTACCTAGAAATAGATAGAATAAAGATAACAGTTCGAAAATTTTTAGCTGGAACCAGGAGTATTGGAGCAGGAAACAGCTGTTATTTCTGTAATTACTAATTTGTATCATTTGATTATGTTTCCTTTGCTGACTGCGTTAAAATCTCATCTGGAGTCTTTATAAAAGGCATTATGCAACTGAGTTTGGGATACTGCTCAGGGTAATTTGCATCCACCAATCATTCGATCTCATTATCGTTATTTGAAAAATTAAAAAATAATTTATTTTTCTTAAATTTCCAAAGAGCTGCACAATCGGTCTTGCCGATGAGCAGACCTAGTTAAAAAATATTTAATGATGCAATGTTTACTAACAAATAACATTTCTTGGGTGAATAAAAGTAAGCATGAAAAGCAGATACTAAAACTTACAATCCCTTTCATTAACAGTTCTTAAAACAGCAGAGCTATTTTCCCAGAGAGTGTTAAAGGCGAAACAGTTCGTTGGTAGGTGCTGAAAATTAAACACGGACACTTGTTGGGGGCTGAAAAACAACAAAAAACAAAAAGGATAAATTACTTTTTCTAGATATATAAAATATTTCAATATTGTGAAACTTTGTCCAAAGTTATTCCATTTTGGATGTTATAGTTAAATTTAAAATATGTGGAAGAATGTAAATTGAACTCATAAAAAATTAAACAAGACAGTGTATATTAAATCAAAAGAATTGTTGTGGCATGGTGCTTAAGTAGTGATGCAGTTAAAATGTTTTATAAATTACTTTATTTTTCTAAATTTTAATATTTCATTCCTTTTATGGCCCAATGAACCTATTTGGTTATAGCGGAATGTTTAAACAACGTAATTTGTCAACTTCTCTTTCTGCCTATATTAACAAAATGAAAATTTTGAAGTTAAAGAAAACAAAAGAACATTATAAAGAAAAATCCAGTAAATCAATGTTATAAGAATAAAGACAAACTGTTTACCTTGATTTCTTAGGTAACATGATTAAGACGCATATAACATTTGGTTACTGGACCAAGCAAAAAGCCACTATAAGCAAAGAATAACAGTGAGCATTTCTTTTAAAGTACTAAGTTGATTTTTTAGGTATTACCTATTAGTATCTATCTACAGAAATATATACCATTGTGGTTCACATTTGGCACAAGAAGATTTTGACAATCAAAGTTTAAGAGAATAGCCTTATTTTAAAGTTTTTTGAATTACCTTTCGCCGTTTGTGCCTTTTACTCATTTCACAAAAACTAGTACCACATTTAAATTAATAAAAAAATATTTAATTATTTTTTTATTAGCTATATCAGATAATTTCAATGATCAACTTTAACGGAGTAGCATGGATATACTACGCCCCCAAATTAATATTTTTGAAATTAACTGAAACCACGCATTTATTTTGTTTCAAAAGATTTTTTTAAGAACATGTCTCGATAAATGTTAATAGTTTAAAATCAACAGGGACAGAAATGAAACAAAAATAGCTATGCATTAAAAGGCAAATTTAATAGAAAAATGGTACTGTTTCGTTTAGCCGAAACGTAAAATTCGCTTTACTATTATTGAAGCCAATTATTTTTAATTAATTTAAGTAATAGATGCATATTGAAATAAGCTATGTACGAAAATGAAAAGTTAATGGAGAAAAGATACTTATTTGTTTTGGGAAACGTTTAAAAACACTATATTATTTTTGACATAAATGCTTAATTACTTTTGATAATATGAATTGATTGAAAAAAAAGCTATGAACTAAAAAGAAAAAATTTATAGAGAAGAAGAACTTATTTGTTTAAGAGAACCGTAAATAATCACCATACAAACATTTACGCCGATGATGCTTATTTAATTTTGGCAATAAGTATTATGGTATGGTAATTTGCGCAGTTTTAATAGCGAATTATACAGCGGAGTTTTCATAATTTCAGAATAATTTTTTTAGGGATAGCAAAGATAGTGTATTAGTATTTTAATGAATTAGAATTGAAATAACCTATTTCTTTTATTATTTATGAATACAGTCGAACCTGTTTATCTCGAATCTCACTGGAAGGGAGAAAAACTTGAGATAAAGAGGTTTCGAGTTATACAGGTGCTTTAAAGAATTAAATTTAATTAAGAAATTCTATTAAAAGTGCTTTAATTGCTTTCAGTTGAAAAAATAGGCATTTCTTAAAATAATTTTATACCACATACATCTATTTACATAACATTTTTTAACTTACATTTAAGACAGAAAATAATTTTTCAAAGGTTTTTGACTTATAACCTTATTTGTTTCGATTGTTCTTTTAAGGTTAGAAAGGGAGCAAATTTCTCATAGCCAACATTTTCCTGGGGTTCAAGAATAGATCATAAGAATTCTACTGCTTTTTCTACATCTTTTGCGTTCACATTTGGTTCATCAATATAATCTTCAGCGTCTTCCTTTTCATCTGATATTCTCTTTACATTATCGATGATTTCCGCATGTTGCCAGGCAGTTGTCCACTTGTGAAAATCTTCAAAATCGATGTCAACATTAAATCCAGATCTTATTACGTTTCATTCTGTCAAATCTGGCACTGCATTTTCAGCGTCAAAAGATTCTTCTTCTTTACTGATGCCTTCCTCCTCTTGTTCATAATTTCACGGCTCTTCCTAAAACCAGCTTTCCATTTTGGATACTTTTTAGACACATTTCTCCAGGCAAAACAGTAGGATTTTGATAGCATCTAACATCTTTATTTTTGGAAGAGAACTTTTTTCATCTATAAGTTTGTGTACCAACGGTTTTCTATAGTTCACTTTAAAATTCCAAGAAACACCCCCAACCTGTTCATCCCTACTTCCTGTGGGTTCACGAAATTCATCTCTGTCTGCAAGTTCTACTGATAAAGAAAGTTTTGGTATTTGTGCTCTATTATTAGAAATTCGAAAAACGGAGGTTTTGAAGGAAAAAAAATCGACATAAACATGGAAAATACATTGGTTTTAGACAGAAAATGTAGGGAATTTTAGAAATTTTGAGATATAGAGGTTTTTGAGACAAAGACATTTGAGATAAACAGGTTCAAATGTATTTTAAATAGTATATTAAAGGTCAGATAGAGAAATACTCCTGCTTTGAAATCCTTATCAAGGTTTTTATGTGAATCCTATTAGTTCTTAAAATTTTGACTTCAATTTGCGATCACTGATAAATGTATTTCTCACAAAATTTAAATGTTAGAGAGTATGTAATAGTACACTATTATAAGTAAAAAGTATTATATTGGTGTATTCGGTGATTATTAAAACTGCATCCACACTGCAGGTTTATTAATTACCAGTTTCAATACAGATACTGCGGAAATAGTGGTCTTACAGGCCCAAAAATTGATAGTATAGACGAAAACTAATTGATAGTGACAAATTTTGACCACCATGAGCTAGCTGAGGGCAATAGCGTCATGCCAAGGCAGTATTGAATATAGTTTATCGTCATTCTATTGGATGATGAACTACAAAATAAGGGTTTTATTTAATTTAATAACCTAAAGTCACCGCGAAGGGCAACAAACAATAATAAATAAATGATAGAATTATTTGATCTTTATTAATTGTGTTGGTATATACCTTCTAGTTTTGAGCATGATTTTGATTTACGATTGCATGATTTCTTTTACGAAAAACAAAATTATCTGTTTGCAATATCGCCACGCAGAATAAGCTGTAGTAAGCAGCTGTATACTTTCTAACCGGAAGTAGAGCAGGTTAAGAGCTTGAGATTGTTGTTTACATTTATATTGAAAACACCATCCATCATGAGTTATAAACATTTCCACAATAAAAAAAATAAGGTGGTTAATACTATTATTAGTTAGTTAATATTTTTATGAAAACTGTAGTTCAACGGAAAATTAAAAACATTTTAACAAACCTTAGTTCCTCTTTTCCAAAATAAACTCTATCTATGAACAGATGTTCTGGAACACCAAGTCTTCGATAGAAATTTCGGACGTCGCTTCTGTTATTTGGTAATTCTTCTGGAGTGATAGTGGGCATCTAAGGACAACGATATGTAATAGAATAACTGCACAGCAGAGATGATACGGTGTGTCCAGAAAGTTATGTCACTGAGTCAATTGAAAAAGATTTATCGATCGAATTAAAACAAGAAGTAAAAATGTTTTAAAAATAGGCTCTTCTCGTTTCGCTACGTCACTTCCAGCGAGATTTCTAGGTAACGGAGGTGTCAAGGTTAGTGTCGGTGAAAGTGTCTGAGCTCACTGGAATGCATATAAGCGTAAATAATAAACTCAATGGAATTACTATGTCACCTCCAGCGAGATTTCTGGGTAATGGCGTTGTCACGCTTAGCATCAGTGAAAGTGTCTGAGCATTCTGAAATGTATATATAAGCTTAACCATAAACTCAATGGCATTACTACGTCACTTCCAGCGAGATTTGTAGGTAACGGAGGTGCCACGGTCAGTATCGGAGAGGGTGTCTGAGCGTGTTGGAATGCATAAGCTTAACAATAAACTCAATGGCATTACTACGTCACTCCCAACGAGATTTGTAGGCAACGGAGGTATCAATTCTTAGCATCGATGAAAGTGCCTGAGCATTCTGGAATGTATATAAGCGTAATAATAAACTCAATGGCATTACGCGTCACTTCCAGTGGGAATTGTAGGTAACGGAGGTGTCACGGTGAGTATCTGAGAGGGTGTCTGAGCGTGCTGGAATGCATACGCTTAACCATAAACTCTATGGCATTACTACGTCACTTCCAACAAGATTTGTAGGTAACGGAGGTGTCAATTCTTAGCATCGGTGACAGGTCTGAGCATTCTGGAATGCATATAAGCGTAACCATAAACTCAATGGCATTACTACGTCACTGTATCGGAGTACTACGTCACGGTCAGTATCGGAGAGGGTGTCTGAGCGTGCTGGAATGCATAAGCTTAACAATAAACTCAATGGCATTACTTTCTGGTATGAATATTGTTCACTTTGTCTATAATATGCTTACTTTTTCACTGGATTCTTCGTCGGGAATGTCACTACAAAATTGATAATTCAGCGAGCAGAATTCTTTAAAGTTTTTTGGAGAACATAATTCGGGAAAGCTATTACAGAATGGCTTCTTCCGAATTCTACAAGAAATAAAAAGAAATTACATTATTTTACTGTCGACTAGTTGACTTATACAATAAGACGGAACAGTGCGGCATGTCGCTTAACACTTCCATAGCAGCAATGACGTGCATTTAAATGGGACAATTGTCCTATTCTCTTCGCTTAGAGTTCCCCCGCAGTTCTAAAATGGAAATAAAACACAAATTCCCATAAAACTTGTTTATTTTACTTTAAAAAATATTAATCAATTGTAAATCAATGTCCTTATTCACTAATACAACACTAGAGCACAGCGAATATTCACGGAAGACGAGTTATCTCGTCCGTCGCGATGAAAGAATTAAACAGTTACTGATTTTTATGTTTAAAATAGTGAATGCATAACAATTACACATCAAAAAAGTGCAATTCTTATTTAAGTGGGAGGGAAAAACACAATTTAAATCTAACGAATCACTACTGTGGAAAGCGGAATAGAAAGCTTAATCAGGAAGCTAAATCATTACACGTCTATACCGATGGCTCTTTGTCTGAATTCTCACCAATTGTTGGAACAAGGATATATTCTACTATCTACTAGATTCAGTAGATATTCTGTAGATATTCTACTATCTTTTCCTTTAATGTTCCAGTCGAAAAACAAAACGCCGCCTTTGATGAAGTAATGGCTATCAATGTAGCATGGCTTGTCTCTAGACGCCTTTACAATACGATGGTTATTCTGCCTGACTCCAAAGCTGTCGTTTATAAAGAAAAACTGATCTCTAAGAATATCCTAGATTGTCGGGCTCTTTAGTAGAGTTAGAGGATATGAGGACAGCAAAAAACACTCCCATGGATTCCAGGGCACTGTGATATTTATGACTACGAACAGACAGATATGCTGGCTAAGAGGGGCACACAAATAATTCAACAGCTAAGTACTTATGACTCTTTTCATTGGACAAAACTTTTTAACAAAAATCTAAAGAGGCAAAATGGACAACTTGTCAAATTTTCAATTTGTGATGTAGATTATTGTTAACCGAGCTTTAAGCCAAAACGTAAATATTTCCTCATTAAAAGGCCTTTTCTTTGTTCTAAATGTAAATAAAAACCGGCTCTGAAGCGTGCGGAGAAGTTATCCTTTTCCTTCCTTAAGAATTATAAAAAAATTATTTAGTATCTGTCTAAATAATCTGTCTAAATTGAAAATTTGGACGATTTAAAGTTTTTTATTACCTCAACCTGTAAGTTAAACATTAATATTTTACATATAAATATTAGAAGTTTAAGAGCCAACTTTGATAATTTTATTTCACATATTTCTAGCATGATTGAAAATATAAGTGTCATAATTATGTCGGAAATTTGGATTTACCAAAATGAAACTAATTTTTACTCAATAGATGGTTATAATTCATTCTTTAATTGCAGAAATAATAATCGCTCTGGNAAGAAGTAAAAATGTTTTAAAAATAGGCTCTTCTCGTTTCGCTACGTCTCCTCCATTGAGATTTCTAGGTAAGAGGTGTCACGATTAATGTGAGGGTGTCTGAGCGTGCTGGAATGCATATAAGCTTAACCATAAACTCAATGGAATTACTACGTCACCTCCAGTGAGATTTCTAGGTAGCGGAGGTGTCACGGTCAGTATCGGAGAGGGTGTCTTAGCATGCTGGAAGGCATATAAGCTTAACCATAAACTCAATGGAATTACTACGTCCCTTCCAGCGAGATTTCTAGGTAATGGAGGTGTCAAGTTCAGTATCGGAGAGGGTGTCTGAGCATGCTAGAATGCATATAAGCTTAACCATAAACTCAATGGAATTACTACGTCCCTTCCAGCGAGATTTCTAGGTAACGGAGGTGTCAAGTTCAGTATCGGTTAAAGTGTCTGGGCGTTCTGGAATGCATATAAGCTTAACAATGAACTCAATGACGTTACTTTCCAGTATGAATATTGCTCACTTTGTCTATAACATGCTTACTTTTTCTGTGGATTCTTCGTCGGGAATGTCACTACAAAATTGATAATTCAGCGAGCAGAATTCTTTAAAGTTTTTTGGAGAACACAATTCGGGAAAGCTATTACAGAATGGCTTCTTCCGAATTCTACAAGTAATAAAAAGAAATTACATTATTTTATGGTCGACTAGTTGGTTTATTCAATATTATAAAATAAGACGAAACAGTGCAGCACGTCGCTTAACACTTTCATCGCAGCAATGAAGTGCATTTGTCTCATCCTTTTCGCTTAGAGTTCCCCCGCAGCTCTAAAATGGAAATAAAACACAAATTCCGATAAAACTTATTTATTTTACTTCAAAAAATAGCCAATTACACATCAAAAAAGTGCAATTTTTATTTTAGTGGGGGGAACATAATTTAAATTTAACGAATCACTACAATGGAAACCGGAATAGAAAGCATCGTCAATTATCGCGCAATCAAACTAAGGATTTTATGTTTTTTGGTTCCACCTTCCTCAGTAGTAATTCGTTTGATTGCTACAGCTATTCTGCTTTGCTTCACTTATGCTAATCTGCAACTTCACCTTTTCTTTTTCCCCATTTTTTTTTAAAATTTTATTATTAAAAAGAATTCTAAAAATATGTATTAAAGGTAGTCATTGTGGAATGCACTAGAGCAAACTGGATGACAAATCTTAAGGGTTAATAGAACATGAAAAAATCAAATTTTTAGAAATATTCAAAATGATAAAAATCAAATTGATTCAAATTATCCAATTATTCAACTAAAATAATCAATGACCTTTAAAATCAGATGGTAGAAGGTTAACAAAAGCTGTTTCTTATAAAGAAAAACGTATCTCTAAGAATGTCCTAGATTGTCGGGTTCTTCAGAAGAGTTTGAGGATATAAGGATAACAAATAACACTCCAATAAATTCCACGGCATTGTGATATTTATTGCTACGAACAGGCAAACACGCTGGCTAAGAAGGGCACTCAAATAATTTAACAGCTAAGTACTTATGACTCTTTTCATTGCGCAAAACTTTTTAACAAAAATCTAAAGCGACAAAATGGACAACTAGCCAAATTTTCATTTTGTGATGTAGCTAATTGTTAACCGAGCTTTAAAGCCGAAACGTAAATATTTCCTCATTAAAACGCATTTTCTTTGTTCTGAATATAAATAAAAACCGGCTCTGAAGCGTGTGGAGAAGTTTTCCCTTTCCTTCCTTAAGAATTATAAAAAAAATTAGTTAGTATCTGAATAAATTAAGAAAAGGTTTTAGTACAGTGTCGTGCACAGAACGAAGTCAAGAAGACTACAGCACCAGGCATATATCTAAAGAGGGCATTCAATGAGGGATTAAATCTTTCAATTTATTGCAATTTTTACTTAAATTTATTACTTTTTACTTTTTTAAATTTATTGCACCAGGCATATATCTAAAGAGGGCATCCAATGAGGGATTAAATCTTTAAATTTATTGCAATTTTTACGAAGAAAAAAATTTTTTTTAACAAGTAAATATTTGGCTCAAATAAAATATTTCGTAAAAAAAAGAATTGTTTGACTTTTAAGTATGATAATTCTAATGACGAAATTTTTAGGTAATTTCAAATTTAAATGTTCTTTGCTTTTAAGGAAAAAAAGTAAGATAATTTTCTTCGAAAAAAAAAATGCTAGCTTATCTTTAAATGTTTCTTCAGGATAATTCACATTTACATTGTATAATTATAAATTTAAAATACGAATTTACCTTTTTTCATGAAATTGGTTGTTTTTTCCCCAGCCCCTTTTTTTCAGGGGCATCTAGGAAGGCGTCTCATAGAAAGACCCGAAATAATAAAACCTTCTAATCAAGAGTTTTACTCAGACTATTCAAACGCCTCTGCAGATCACTGTTTTAAAGCTTGAAAGTTTTAACATTGGTTTAACAGAATACTGCTTAAAACTTTGTCTCTTTCATAGGAAAGTCCCGCAGTGGACTGATCGTAAGGACACGGTTCCCAGTAGAACACCGAAGTCAAGAAGAATCACTGGCTGCGGTCAGTAAGCGGGTGAGTGACCACTTTGATCAGCTTGCGTAGGGACCGAGGGTGCACGGTATCTGTCCACGTCAAACAGTTCTACCTTAAAGTGCTCAACATCGTGCGCAGATATCGTCGGGCTACCAAAGCACGGAAGCCATCCAATCTGCAGAGGATCAGAATTGCGATGGCATGTCTTCGGATCATTCTCAGGGATGTTTCCCAGACCGTCGCCAATAGCCCATTGTGCAGTTCTAGTGCGCCATAAGAAAAGTACCTATAAACCATTCATTGGAAAACTATTCCCACGTTTTGCTTCCAAATTATACAGCATTAAAGGAATACGTTATAGTGAGGCGCAATGGCTCGAGCCACTNAAATTTCTATTTTAAATTTATTGTATTACTTTTCTTTGTCGCCTGGACAGGATTTTCCTCTTGACGACGAATATATATTCTTTGTATTTATGTGTTTTTGTTCTCAATAAAGTTATATTTGTTTGTTTGTTAAAAAAAAAAAAAATTAAGAGAAGGTTTTATTTTAGTGCAGTAGCGTGCACAGAACGGAGTTAAGAAGACTACGGCACCAGGCATATATCCAAAGAAGGCATCCAATGGTGGATTAAATCTTTAAATTTATTACAATTTTTATCATGAAAAAAATTTTTTTAGCTATTAAATATTTGACTCAAGCAAAATATTTCATGAGGAAAAGAATTGCATGACTTTTAAGTATGATAAATTTACTAAAGAAATTTTTAGATAATAACAATTTAAAATTTTTATGTTCTTTGCTTTTGAGGAAAAAAAAAGTAAGATTATTTTCTTCGAAAAAAATAATATTAGCTTATCTTGAAATGTTACTAGAGGATAATTCACATTTACATTACATAATTATAAATTTAAAATACGGATTTGTTGTGCTTTTTTTTAATGAAATTGGTTGTTTTTTTCAACCCTTTTTTTTCAGGGGCATCTAAAGGCGTCTCATAGCAAGACCCGAAATAATAAAACCTTCTAATCAAGATTTTGATACAGACTATTCAAACACCTCAGCAGACCACTGTTTTAGAGCTTAAAAGTTATAACATTGGTTTGACAGAATACTGCTTAAAACTTAATCTCTTTCACAGGAAAGTCCCGCGGTGGACTGATAGTAGGGACACGGTTCCCAGTAGAACATCGAAGTCAAGAATCTCTGGCTGCGGTCAGTAAGCGGGTGGGTGACCACTTTGATCAACTTGCGTAAGAACCTAGGGTGCGCGGTATGTATCTGTCCATGTCAAACAGTTCTACCTTAAAGTGCTTGACTTCACACGCAGATATCGTCGGGCTACCAAAGCACGGAAGCCATCCAATCTGCAGAGGATCAAAATAGCGATGGCACGTCTTCGGATCATTCTCAGGGACGTTTCCCAGACCGTCGCCAATAACTCATTGTGCAGTTCTAGTTCGCCGTAAACAAAGTACTTATAAACCTTTCATTGGAAAACCATTCCCAAGTTTTGCTTCCGAATTATATAGCATTAAAAGAATATGTTATGGTGAGGCGCAATGGTTCAATGGTTAAAGGCACTTAACTATTATAGTGAAAGATTGAAATTCTATCTTCAGTGGGAGCTTAAGGCTCACTCAACGTTGGATTAATGGGTACCTGCTATCCTGGGAAGTAAAGGTTTTCTGTGCGCGACGGGTAACTAACCCATTTGCTGCAACTCCAATTGCCGTCGAGGAAAAAAGAAGCTTGGTTGGTGAGGTGGCGATCGGTGATGCGTGTGATGAAAATCGCCTTTAAATGCTTACCCCATTATTACTACCAACCAGCCTAACAATCATTGGTTTCGAAATTGTGAAGCCTTAACCTCCATGACCTCTTGGCTCACAGAGGGCTGTTGTGTGAATACTTTACATTTAAAAAAATATGTTATTCCTAACAATACTTAAAATAGTTTCTAATTCTGTAGATTCTTAGGAATGAAGTATTCTAGATATTCTAACTTGGATTCTTAGAAGAGATACGTATTATTGGGAAAAAGAAACTTACCCGTTGTATTCGCAGAGTGTAAAAGCTGGTGATGAAATAACTTTAGGATTTGAAATGAAGACATCTACTATGATTGGATAAGTCCAATATACCTGCATGAAAGTCCAGACTTGGTATGAACATCCAAATAAGCAGATCAGCAAAACCAGTGTCTTCATCCATTTATGAAAACCTCGAACTTTAACGATTTGAGGGATGGACGTCAACATAGTTTGCATCATCTGCTTCTTGGCGAAATTCTTAACTTTCATGATGGAAATCAACTGCAGCATATGAACACTTGTTAGAAAAAGCCACCTCTAATCTAAACTTTTAGAATATTTATCAAAAATGATTTTCTCTAAAAAAAAATATCATATTAGGGATTTCTATCTCATTTTTTAATGCTGAAAAATTATTGTCAAAATCTAACGAATTATTATCAAGGTGGATGGAAGAGAATATTTAAAAAAAAAAAACATCAGAGAAGTAATGAAATTGAGTAGTGAAGGGTGGCGTTTATTGGACACAATTTAAGTTACATCGGTCAATCAAACTGGTTATGTTTTATGTGTTCTCGCTTTCATCTATCATGATTCACAAAAGTTTTATAACATATTTGTTTTTTATCAAATAAATAGTAATTTTTTAACTTCAAACGTGTGTATTTTTTCTTGAGTTTTGACTGGGACATTAGTTATTAAAAAATAATGTATACTTAAAAAATCATTTTCATTCTAAGCTAAAATTTATGTTTTGAAATAGTTTCGTATAGTATTAAAAAAACTTTCAATTTGTTTTCATTCAAATAAATTAAAATAACTTTTGAATTTAAGGACATGAAATTTTTTTTTTCACTTTTAATATCGTGATACAATCTATATTGATAACAAAATCAGTATTGTAATGTTCAGTTACCCTTAACGGTCTGAAAATATTTCAAGTTCATTTTTTTAATCAAGTATAATTAATTACTATATCAGTTAAAAGTATATAATTAATTATAATTTAATTGTAAATATGAGTACAACAAGAGTGATAAAAATAATAAAATGTTTTTTTTTTTTTTTTTTTTTTTTTTTTTTTTTTTTTTTTTTTTTNTTTTTTTTTTTTGCCGCCGTTATACGTGGCATTACACCCAGTAAGAAAAAGTATCATGATGATTATACGGCAGCATTGGTCCGTTATGGGTTTATTACCAAATCACATATCTAGAATATTTGCCAGAAAGGAAGTAAAAATACATATCGGGGCTCGCAAACTAATATTTAAGCTAGAAAAAAAAAAGACAATATCAAAAACTTAGGGAATCACTAAAATCTAATGAATTACTAAAGAGAAATCTGTCAAGCCTGTCAAAAGAAACAGAGAAGAAATTAAACTTAATTAGTACAAACATTCTCGAGTTTCAACTGGCAATCTAACTGGAATTTTATATTTTTCATCGCAGTTTCCACTCTAGAGAATCGACAAATTTAAAATGAGCTTTTAATTCTTTTTGGCTTAAATTACTGTCTTCAACTTCTAATTAATTTTCGATTTCTTTTTTGATGAAGATTACAAAAATATGAATTTAGAAATATCGTGTATATTTAATATTCATAAAAACATTAATCTGACATTTTTTTTAATATTGTGACTTAATCGCACCAGTTCACGCATAGTTTTAATTTTTTTTTTAAATTATACTCCTGCTCCAAAAATAATAAAGTTGTAAGTTACTTACCAATAAATAATTACAGTAGAAGTCAAATTTAAGTTATTGTCCAAACGTATAAATTATGCTAATTTTTCTAACTTCAATTTATACCGTTTTCTAATAACAGTTACTGAAATAATTTGAATGCTTAAAAAGGAGAACCTTCTATTTATTATACACTTACGAATACTTTGTGAACGCTAATGAATACTTAATGAATTAGCAAAATGCAAGTACATTTTATAATGATAATATACTTTTTACGTAATTATAAGAGATAAAATCAGTTTTTAATATGTAAAGAAAGAAAGATCTCATGAGATTTGGATATTATATAGCTCACGCAAAATAGGGATGCTTTTATTACCTTGAAGAATAACAAACTTTATTATTTGTAGAAATATAATGGCATTTCAATATTTAGTTTTCTCTTTAGAACACATGAAGAGTCAGTTTTCTCTGTTCAGAATTATCAACCAAAAAACTACACCCTTCAGAAAAGTTTTTTTCTTTCTTCATGAAAGGAAATTTGATAAAACATTGGTTATTCTTCTTTATCGAATTGAAGTTTTTCTTACAAATAACTTTATGAATAGAAATGCAAAGAAGTTATTTTTGAATATCGTCTGCCTTTTGGAAAAACTCTAGTTTAAACTAGAAAAGTCACATTGTTTGACGTTATTGATAATGTGAAAAGTTGCTGAAATGTAATTAACAAAGGTTTTTGTAAATGTACCGATGGTCAAAAAAACGCAAGAATCTAATTCAACTTTTTGTATGCTTATTTTTGTTAAACAACAACAAAAAAAAAGTTACATTTCCTTTGGAACATAAGTTCATTCAAAAAATTGTCGATTTCGAGCGAATAAATTATTCGCTTTAAATCTGAAGTTATAATTTTGCGTGACTTTCTACTTTCAGATCTCATTTCATAAGATTAAAATTTTACTTATTTGAACTTTTCTAAAGTTAGAATTTTACAAACAAATCATTGCGAAATTATTCATCCTTCTAAAGTTATAAGATATTTGGGGAAAAAGATTTTTATAGTGTTGCGCAGGTAATAATTTTATATCACTATTACCACTACGTAACATACTCAATATTTGAAGAGATAAACCTTTTAATATTATTTGGAAATAAAAAAAAGCGTTATTCGTGATTGAACCTAATCACCGTTTAATACATTTATTGATTAGAATATCTACCTTTATTAACTAAAATAGAACATGTTGAAGAAGAGACGAGATGACCCGGGTTCGAATCTCAGCGATGGCTGATCGATTAAATTCTGCTTCCAGCTCACAACGGGTACAGGGGTAGATGAAGCATAGGTTAAAGTTACCTAGCCATCGGGCTAAAGTGGAAGGTTTTCGTGCTTTTCCACACCACGTAATGCAAATACGGGTTAATTCCATCTGAAATTCCACCACGAAGGCTAAATTATTTTAATGGTTGATCCAAAAGTTATATTTATTTAAATATTTCAAAGCTTTTTATTTAAACCTTTGTTATAAGCTTATTTTTTGTTACTTTTTGAGCGTTCTTTAGTATTAAAATTATACTAGCCACATTTTTTTAAAATTATTATTTGTATTTAAAAATTAGCTGTTAGGATTTTTCGAGATACTGATTTCATTTCATCAACGGTCGATTGATATCGGTTTTATGGCTATTTAAACTCCGTAACACCTTGTAATTTTAAATTCAACCTAAAAACGCATCAGAAAAACAAGGAAATTCTTAGATTAAGCAATGTGATAAACTTGAGCTTAGTGGAAACTTTTAGATTGAAACTAATCCTCATTCACTCAGATAAAAACCTTCGCGGGTTGACAGGGTGCGTAGCCAGATTTTTCAACAAAAAATAAGCACCTTTTAAGTACTTTTTAAGCACTCTAAAAATATTTTTAATCACTTTCCAAAAAAGAATCATAATTAGGATCTGTGCAGTAATAAAAATGGTTTTTTTCTATCGTTTAAAGTTCTCAATTTATAAGCATAAAATCAATAAAATTCAAAAACATTTTCAAAAATTTTACATAATCATAGTAAAATAACTACTTTTTGATAAATATTGCAAAGAAAATTTTGAAAATCATGCATTTTTTGTAATTTAGAACGACAATCGAATTAAGCACTTTTTACAAACCCTGAATAAAAAAAGCATATATAAGGGCTTTTAAAAAACGTAAATCAAAAATAAGCACCGTTAAGCACTTTTTAAAAACGCTACGCACCCTGGTTAATTTGATGATCTTCTGCCACTATGGAAATTTTCTAGTCATTTCATTTTCTTATTGACATTTCATTAATTTCGCTTCCTCTGAGGTAGTGGCGTAAATGAAGATATATTTTTCCTTCTTCTTACGTCTTTGTTTTTAAAATAAATTTGACTATAGACAAACAAACAAAAAATGTCATGTGTGTACAGTTTTTAATTACATTGCACAGCGAAAAAAAAATTTTTTTTTTTGTAGCACCGACACTATTTCTCCCGATTTCTTACGTTTGATCTCCTGAATCCGACTCCCGTTTCCCCATCGCCTACTTGACACACGCCCTCTTTCTCCTAAGTTTATAACTTTTCTATAATTTAAGTAACTAATTTGATTACGAATAAAAAATTTTTTTTAATTTCACCGTTAAATGTATGAAGGACCAGAGATATGAAAAGTTTTAAAACATGAGCAGTTATAGAAAAGATTTGGGGGATTCCCCCTTTAAAGTAGTAAACGCTATCATTAAAAATATTCCCCCCCCCCGCAATATTTTAAATAACTACCGACATATTCTAGCTTGCAGTCTGTCATTTCCTTCTTAAAACACCCTCGAACCAAAATATTTAGCCACAGTTTTAACTATAAACGGATACGGAAGTGAGGTCCTTCCAAACTTTCACTCTAGATTTTCAGTATATTTCTCTGAAATACAAACTTAAAATAAATGTTTTGCCCTGACTTTTTGGGCATTTTAATTAAATTCCCAGATATTCCAAACTCATAAAATTTACGTATTCTTCTCGATTTCCATGTTCTGTGGTTACCCTGGGGAAAAAAATACTTACTTTTAATCTTTTTTTAAAATTCTTTTTTACAATTTGGAAAGAACCCCTCAAATTTCCCATCTTTGTTACAATAGTTCATGAGTTATAACGTTCCATCTCTTCATTCCCTCAAAAGAAAGTGAGCGGTTAAAATAATAATTTTCCGTCTAGAAGATGTCAACCAAGTTCTCTGGAGGAAGTTAGGAAGATTCACTATACGAATACTTCTTGATCTCTACCCCCAACCCGTTTTTTCCCCCAAAAATATGTGGCTAAATATTTTTATTTTTAGAGGATGTTTAGAGAAATACATAGAAAATATTATATGGAATATGTGAAAAAAAAGTTTTTTTTTAAAAAAAAATTGCGAATAAAACTCCAGAGAGCTTGCCACTTGTAATGATTTTTTTTATATATACAATATAATTTAAGAGGGAAATCTTCCCGAAATAACCCCTCTAGTTTATACATGTGTCAAAAGAAAAAAAAGAGGTTTTTCAGAGAAGGCTTATGGTATTCACAAATTAATTGTTTATTAATTATTTTCTGTAATAATTTCTAAATAAAAATTAAATCAAACACAAGCTTGATATATCTTGATATGCTTGCGTTCAGCTAGTGATGTTCTTAAAATAAAATGCATTAAAAACTGTACAGTTTTATGAAAGCGTTCAATTTTATTTTGTGACACATATTTGTAATAAAAGCAATTCTAAATCAAAGAAACCATCGATTTATTGTGGTTTAAATCTGGTTTAAAAAAACAGCAACTCAATTAATTTAAAACAAGTGATTAAGAACATTATTAAAATCTTGATTCAAATTAATATCATTATTCAGATCAGAACCTAACTTTAGTTGGACGAGCTCTATCCCATAGTTAGTAATCTCATCCCATATTAATATATCTCTATCCCATAAAAAGAATGGATTGTAAAAAAGTTGAAGAGAAACAACATACTATTCAGCATATGCAATTAAAATGCATCAACCTATGCAATTTTTAAGTGGTTAAATTATTTGGGGAAAAAAAAGAAACTTATCTAAAGAGAGATATAATATACAACACTGTGGTCATAGCTGCATGCACCTTAATAAAAGTAAATTAAAAATCACATTTATATAGTTTAAAGCTTCTTTAAGTGCATCAAATAAAACCAATGAACACTTTTGAATTGACAGAAATGAAAAGAAAAAAAAACACACATATAATATTTTATTTCTGGTAGGCAGGTACTTTATTTACATTATACTACAGTTGCACAATGGGCTATTGAGATATTTTTTTTATAAAAAATAAAATGTAGAATAAACTTTTACAAAATTAAAAATGTTTCTAATATAAAGACTATTCTAAATATAAAAACAGAGTGTAGATAAAATATAAACTCACTAAAATTAAAACTATTTTAATGTCACATAAATAAACTTCACAATATATAACACAGGGAAAATAGTGAAAATGTTATATTTTTATTTCAAACGCTATATTTTCATAATAATAAAAATACACTTGGGATATTACAAGAAAAAATTACATTAATACCAAAATTTCATAAAATATCTTTTTAAAAAAAATTTTTTTTCTTACAAAACAATCCCTACATGATAATGGATTTCAAATTATTATTTATTAATTTTTTTGAAGACACTATTCTATTGACATAATGCATTTTTTTTTAAAAAAAAATTTGGATTTAAAAATTGTGAACCATTTTTTGTAACTTTTACCATGTTATTATTATAAAAGAATAAAATTAATTTAAACCAATTTTTAAAGTAGTTTTCATGTATTTATGAATATAGTTTTGAAAACTTAAAATTTATAAAACTTGCAATTTTTGCCAATGATTTTTCCAACATTGGTACGTTGTATTTAAAAATACAATATTGGAACATAATACCCAATAAATTCAGTACTTTAGTGTATTTTATATTAGTAATCAAAGATTTTTTTTAATTTTTCTAAACTACAAGAAAGACAACCCAAGATAATTGATTAAAATAGTTTTGTCATGATTTTGCAAAATGATAAAAATTTCTTGTTTGAGTCCCACATGCAAATTTTTGAATTTCTAAAATACATTCTAGAAAAAAATATTACAGACAAATAAATAAATGAAAGTAAGTAAATATTATTTTTGAGGAAAATACAAGAATAAAAAGATACTTATTTTTTCTGACGGAGACTTTAAATAAACATGAAATTACTGTTATTGCTAGTGATGCTTAATTAATTATATTAATACACACGACTGGCATTGGGGCAAAAGATGTTCTGGTAATAAGTGTCTTGTATTCTATACTCTGTGGTAATAGAGATTTTACACCTTCTTGAAACTTATAGATATCATCAAAAAAATTATTTAATTTTTGCCGATATTGACGTTAATCTTTATTTGAATAACCGACAAATACACTTTAAATGTTATTGCTGCCATGCAACTGCAAAAATAATGTAAGTACTTCATGATAGCTTTTGATAAGAGCGGCTTGACAACTATTTAGTTTCTCTTGGTAATGCTATCAACAATAAAATAAAATTTTTAAAAAGTGATAAAAAAAACTATCTTTTTTTGTTGCAATATGCATTTATAACAAAAGTGACAAATATATAAAAATCTCAACTTTGAAATTTTCATAACTTATGTTGGTTTTTCCATTGCACGGCATAATAGCAGTTAAAATTTACTCTAAATTAATCAGAAGCATATAATCATATCTCACAGAAATAAATAAATAAATACAGCTGTACAGATTATTTTATTTTTCACCACCAGAAGCTTATTGAGATGCTAGTACTAAGAGACCGTACATAATGCCAACATCCAGGAGGAATATACAACAAATTTCCAGGTTTCAAAACACATTCTGAATACTTTGCTTTACTGAATAATGGGAATTCCTCTAAATCAGGATTTTCAACATCAACCTGCACAAAATTATTTTATCATTAATGAAGGTAAATTAATATCATAAAATCTAAAGATTTATCAATGCACTTTTTCATAAAATAATACTTAAATCCAATAGTATTTATTTTATTTTTTTACTTTATCCCTCATTGAACAGACGACCCAATTTTGGGTTTACGACTACTACTAATGTTCAACTCCGTAGCCTTGTAATTTTGAACCAATCCAGAAGACAAGGAAACTCCAAGATCAGTACCTCCAGAGGTATTGATTTGTTATGGGAACATGGAGGACTTTGCGACTTGACAGATTTAACGTGCATCAGTCACCATTTACTACACAGGGAGTCTTCGGCCGTTGGGGGTCGAACCCAGGAACTCTAGGACAAGGGCCCAGTGCCCTACCAACCAGGCTATTTCGGCCTTAAATCCAATATTAATAATAAGTAACATTTAGAATACCAAACATTAAACCGTCAATTCATATCAAACATAATATTTTCAACAGGAAAACAAAAATACACGCTGTTTAAAATAAAAAGAAATATTAATAGTTAAAGTAAATGACGAGTTTTTTTTTAAATAAAATACTATACTTTTACCAAAAAAAAAGAGTAGTAACTGATTATAAAAGATGAATACAAGGATCTTGTAAAATTTTTCTGATTAAAGATACTAGTTTCCAAAAAATTACCCATGATATGAAAAATCAATGAAAGAAAAATATAAGTGAGAAATATTGAATTTGCTACTTTCTGCTCATTCTCACCAAGTTTTAAAATTAGTTGCAAAGTTCCACTTGCTAATGACTGATAAAAACTATAAATAATGACCGAAAAACAATGTGAATAACACACAAAAAAGAAGTACAGAAATTACAATGTTTTATTCTACTCTTGTTTCTTTTCTTTTGCTTTAGTCTACAAAGCACAAAATATGCCCTATCCTTTTCCAATATTTTCAGCAACAACATGGTGCAATCTGAGAACAATATTAACAAACGCTCATTCAATTATGTTAGTTAGAATAGTATATCATTCAACAAAAACATCGCTTTTACAGTTTCTTCTAGTTAAGAATGTTATCTGCTAACTTCATTATACTAATTTTGAAACTTAGTTAGAATAAATTACCTAGTGTAGGGGAAGTCTTGGTTCATTTGTATTTTTACCAATTCACATAAATAATGAAAGGTCTGAAATTAACTAACTCTAAATATTTATTGAAAAGGACAAAACACATATAAAACGAAACAAGAATAAAAAAAAGGAAATACAAGAATTTAGAAGAGGGGATAAGGGTTCGAATTAAATGTCCGTATTATACGGCGATTCCTAGTTAAGAATGTCAGTTAGAATAAATTACCTAGTTCTTTTTAAGTAGAACTCAGAAAGCCCTGCATTACTATCTCCTTCCATTTTCCCTTGATTTTACAAATTGCATGTTATTTTTGGGTCAACCACCAATATAATGTTAACCAGCAACACTAATTCAAGTAATGAAAGTCTGATATAAATTACATATTTTTAGCATACATTTCATCAAAGATGCATGAGTATGCTTTGTATCATCACATGTAATTGTATTTATAAATATTCTAAAGCCCGTTTGTCTGCTAGTTAGTTATTCTGCTAGTTTGCCCGTTTTCTAAACTGAAAGCTGGTATGGCTTTCTATCAAGAAACAGCTCTTTACATGTTATTCGCCGAAAAAGTAATGAGTTGTGAGGAAGTTTAAATGCATTTTTCCCTCAATTGCAATGCTTGTAAAGTCACAACTTTATCAGCAATATTATCTATTCCAATTCTAAAGAAAAATCAAAATGACAGAAAATGCATTTATGTACCTGACTTGTGTTATAAAACAAAGGGTCTTCACGGGCATAAACATATGGTGATTGTTCTTTGGAATAAAGCCTGATATATTTTGTACCTAGAACCTGAAATAAAAAGAAATTGAAAAAAGGTATAGAACAAAACAAATTATTATGATAATGTATAGAATTCACAAGAAACCTACTACCACTTAATATCCATGATATTTCCAATAGCCTTTAATGATAAAATAGATCTTAAAAGTTTCAAGCTTTTATATTCTTTTTTAAAAGTACTTTAGTGAAAAAATGCACATATTCAAATATTGAATAATCATACATAAATACATAAAACTAATTTTAGAAATCTATTCAGATAGTGTATACAGTCCTTACACTTAATGCAATATGGTTAGAGTGCTTAAAAAAAAATAATGTAAAAAAACTATACACATTAGAGGTTTCAAGTTAATATTTAAAAAAAAGAAAATACAAAACAATTCCAAATTCTAATCAATCATTATTGAGATTGGGAAAGACAGAGGAAGGATTAAAATAATTAAAAACTGGTTTATTTGTCCGTTGAAAGTAGAATGCTGAATGTTGAAAGTGGAAGTGTTTTGTTAATGAACTACCTTCAAGTTTCTTTCTCAAATAAACTGTTCTAATACGAGTTTAATCCTTCTCTTGCTCTTATTGGCCCTTACAAATGGTGGTCATTATTATAGAATATTTTTTTCTTTCACTTAAATATTAATAGCATCCTGCTTTGATTTATATGCATTCTAATAATATTTGTAAAACACAGTCACTACAGACTGCCCTATTAATTGACTCCCAATCATTTTCCACCAGAAATTTCATACGTTTTAGATGCAAATGTGTCTACACTTGTGGGCCAGTTTTGTGCAATGTTTTAGATTTCACATCACTGGCTAAATTCTGTAAAGTATAATTCTATTATTAGATGGCCCAATTTAAAAGGTTTTAATGAATCTATAAATCGATTTTATCGATGCACAATTTGAATTTATTCTTATAACGAAAACAATACTGTACATTCTAATCTTTTAGTAATGCATTATTTAAATATTTAGACAACTTAATTTGAAAGTTTTTAAAGAACCTTATAGTTGCATTTTGTGGTTATGTAACTAAAATGTATTCTCACAATGAAAACAAAACTGTACACAAGAAGAATTTAAAATTGTTTGATTAGGTATGAAGCATAATTTAAATGTTTTTTTGTTAAATACTTAAAATGTATTTTGCGATCATATAATAAGAAAATATTCTGATAATGGAAACAAAACTGAACATTAAAATATGAAAATATAGTGAATGTGTATTATGTTTCAGAAGTAAGTATTAAATAAAATAAAATAGCAACCTGAGCTAACAAATTATGCTTTGGATCATAATGAAGGGGTGATATAGTCCCAGAAGGTCCAAACCAGATACTTATATCAACGAAAGCTTTGTCATCTATATAATAAGGAGTGTCAATATCTTCCTTTAACTCAGGAATCTGCAATATTATATAATCAAATGCTTCATCATACTCTAATTACTACTTATAATTATTCAAGTAACAATAAATAAAAATTTCTTAATTATATGTACAATTATAACTCATTAGACTCACATTTATATCAATGAATAATAATTTATTTAAAAATCATTCAATCAAGATAAAGTCAATAAAAAAAATCTTATTAGAGAATAAAAAAGGAAAATAGAAAAAAAATAAGGAACAGTCATAAGGTAAACTTTTAATTTTTGTATGCTATCCATTAGACATTTATGCTAATGACTTTGTCTTTATTAAAAAAGATATGCATAGGTTAATCTTAATGTGACAAATTAGTTATAGTATGTATAACTGGCTATAAACAATAACCAAAACAAGTAGTTAATAAGGTAAAATGTTTGCAGTTTTATTTATTAATTTTTTATTTTGCAAAGCACCAAACATGATACATAATATGATAAAATCCAATCAATTCATTCGCTTAATTAATTAAAATGGATACTTCTCTCAGTTATTTAGCTATTGGTTGAAATTTTGTGTAAATACAATGTTTAAAAAACTTAAATTCTCAGTTACGAAAAAAAAATACTCGATCTATAAAACTAGATAAATTAAAACTTAACTAAAAACTAACTAAAACTACTAAAAAAATTTATTTATAGATATTTTTTAAAAGAATTATATACCTAAAAATAATTAACTAATATAAAAAGATTTTTGACTGATTGATTTAATAGGTAGACTGATAAATGTTGACAGTAAAAATAATATATTTTTTTTAAATTAAGTTTATTACTTAATTTATGTGAAGTTATCTATAAGTTTATTCCTGCTAGAGAATACTCAATCACAATGCCACACTCCTGAAAGAAAGTTTTTGAGACTGCTCAAACTGCTGCCATTCCTGACTGAAGAAGGAAAGTTTTCTTTTAATACAGTTTATTCACTGTAAATGGTATTCCTTCTGCATGACAGGAATAGGTATATTGTAGAAGTTCAGCTTTTCTCTCAGCTATAGCAAGTTTATATTATGCTGGTATAGTTGCATTGGCACAATTGACAAACGCTCTATTTGACACAATTTTTTAAAGTTTATTGTACATCATTGGTTATATCTGGTGATTAAGGTGTTTACGACTGTAGAGAGTCTGTCGTGTAATGTTAAACATTTGTTTAACAATGGGGTATCTTATATATATTAAAGTATAAGGTATCAAGCATAAGGTTTTGTGTAAAAGGTTTCAAAAGTAAGGTTTTCAAAGTATAAGATTTTGAGTAAAAGGTACCTTATACATAAAACAACCTGGGATTATGGAATACATGCCAAAATACCTAAGGGAACAATCTGATCCCTCTCGTCATTCTATGTATAATAGGTTTTATACGTTTCTATAAGGCTAACACAAGAATGATTAAATAAGCATTTAAATTGGATTGATTTATGAAAAGTCATCACTTCTCAACTTTTTCAGTAAGTATTTTTTACATTACAGGGCAACAAAAAACTAGAGGGGGTCAATTGATCCCATCCGTCTTTCTAGTGTTAACACATAAAAATGAATTTACTCTTAACATTACCTGTTAAAATTCAAGAGATTCACTTCTATGCTTTAAACAAAATAATTATCACAACAAAAAAGGAAGAAATCTTGAATAGCAAAATTATTCAGAATAAGATAACAAATACAAAATATTTTACAAATGCATGTTTCAGATGGAAAAAAAATCTGCACAACTTACTTGTGTGAAAAAATTGTGTTGAGCAAGATAACCAATTTCTTTCTATTTAAAAAGAACAAAATAATTAAAACTAACATAAAATAACCTTTTTTCATTAGATAATTAATTTTTTGGCTAAAAATATAGAATACAAAAAAATTAAAGTTAAGAATGGCACATATAAAAAGTGTTTAGTCATAAATTTATGTTCTTTCTCAAAATTAAAAACATGCTTGTTTCAGAAGAAACAAGATTATAAATAAGTTAAAGCTATTCAATTTACTATTTAGAAGTTTTCCTACTTAAATTAAGAATGAATATAAAAACTATGATTCCAATGTAAAGAATCGAAAGCCTAAAAAATTACTTTTTTAAAAGTTAATTTTAAAACAAGAAATAATATTTAAAAAAACATGTATTCTAATATTTTAATTAAGGAGTTAAATTGAATAGTAAATCAATCTTAAAAATTGTATGGTACTAATATGAAAAAAAGTTGAATAAGTTATTGACATACATAAAGAGATTGAAGATAGAATTGGTAAATAAATAAATATTATAATTAAAAGTTTTCCAAAACAAAAGAGCACAGTATAGAAGACTACTTATGTGTGATTTATTTATTATGTATTATTTTATTATCAGTATAAATAAAATCAAAATACGAATGATATTTACTTTTCAGCAAGATTTGTTTGTTATCTCTTATTATATAATTTATAGCATATTTTTTAAACAAAAAATTTACGTACCAAAAATATTTTTAAATAATTATATTCTTTACTAAATAAAATAAATATTATTTCTCAAATAATATCATTATTGGAAAAAAAAACTTCACTATAAAATTATAAGGAAATAATAAAAATAAATATTAAAGGAATTTTGTGTCAATTCCAAAATTACTTATTATGAAGAAAACAAACTAAATTTGTTAAACAAGTAAAATAATGTATTCATTAGTAGTTAGTCCCAATATAATAACGAAGAAAGAAACAGAAAAGCAATAATATGAATAGCACCACAAAAGATTTATGCGAATGACAGTAAATAATCTCAGCATTAATAACACTAGATAATTTGATTTAGATCAAACAATAATGCTAAAATGGATGAATTAACAATAAAACAGATGAATTACCGAAACAGTTATTAACATAAGTTAAAATATTTGGAAAGAATAGCTGTGTAAACAATATTGCTAAATAAAATAAAAATTAAATGAAAAGAATTTTTAGTAGTTAAAAGTTTTTTTATACTTTTGCTAGAAGATGAATTTTTTATTTAAAATAATTTAAATAAATAAATATATCTTTTTAAAGTCATAAGAATCCCAATCTTTTTCTTATTTATACTAATTAATAATTTAAAAATTCAAATACATTAATGCCTAAAATGAACTTAAACTTACTGATTGATTCCAAATATAATGTTCCACAAATTCTTTAACTGTCATCAACTTTTGAGTCCAATTTTCATCAGTATATTTTGAACCAAGTTCTATAGGCACCGTTCTGAAGGATGTTTTTTCTAACATATAATCTATGCTAAATGCAAAGTCATAAGTTTTACCATTGACATTAAAATATATGTATAAAAAAAGTAGTTTCAACAAAATAGGTTATTCCTTGATTTACCTCCAAGATCTAGAAGTCATAGCTGGCCAATTAGAAATTCCATCAGTAATGATTACTGGTTTGGAATTGTTCATAAAATCATCAATAAACTCCTTTTTAGTGAAGTTACTTCTTTCTAGAACTTTGTGGCTTAAAACAACATCTGCCTCATTTAGAACTTTTTGTTTCTTTGGCTGAAAAAAAAAAGAATTTTCAATTAATGCGACCTAAACTTATATGCTATATGACGGCTTAATTAAGAGATTATACATATTTAATAGAAGCTATATTTCCTTTGATAAAAAATCAACATCTTTTTTTTCTTTTTCAAAGAAAATATTTAATACTTAGGCACATGTAAAATATTTAATTAAAATTTAAAATGTACAAGATGTATATTTGCGAATATCAATAACAATGAACTAAAGAATAACTATAGATAGAAATAAGTATCTAAGCCTAAGTACAAGTGTTTCTTTCAATCAAAACTACCATACTAATGTAGTTCATTGTTGAACTTATTGATTGTAAAAGCTTATACTCAACTGAAATAGAAAAAAAGTATGCCATTTTTTTCCCTTTCTAATTGAAAATTGCAAATGGATAGTGTAAATTGCTATAAAATATAAATAGTACTCCCAAGGCGTATATATTATGATCAAAATATTAAATCTGCTTATAATAAATAGTAACCAGTTAAAAGGATACATTTTGTGATAATTTGTCACATTAACCAGTCACTATCAATAATTAAATGAAGTTAGGCAATTATAAATAATGGTCAGCTATAGAGATAAATTTTTAAAAGTGGTTAACTAATATATTTTTTTTAATATTCTGCACACTATCTTTTACTAATTACTAACATAATAACACATTATATATATTTGTGTGTATATATATTTGTCAAATATATACAATGGGTATCTATCTATTTGTCATTATATTTTTTTATTTCTATATATAATAGATTGCATCCCTTTAAGTTATTTATTTATTTATTTTACATAACAGATGGTTCTTACAACTAAATCATTTGGGAACCACTGTCTTAAACTGCGCATATAATATAGATTTAAAGAACAATCTAGGTTTCATATCAGACAGTAAACCTTAAATATTTAAAAATGTCATTAAACTTTTTTACCTTAACTTCATAGCAATTTTTCCTATCATTGCCTTCCAAAAGAAGCAATTCAGAAAGTTTGAATGCTAATCTGCTCAGTAAATTCCCCATAATCGGAGCACCAAGCAAGAGACCATTATCACACTGTTTAATTATGTCCTGTAAAAAAAATGTCTTATAAAGTTGATATGTACTACATCTGAATATATGAGATTTCCGTATCATGATCTGCGGCAGAATAATCGCCAAGTTTTGGCAACTTTCATACAGCGGCTCGTAAGAAACTTTAAAAAAATTACAGAAGCAAACCAACTCAAAGGAAACCTTTAATTTTTTTTTTTTTTTTAATTTGCAAGTTTAAAATTTATTTGCAGCCTTGGAGATTGTATATAACGACACAGATCATGACACGTAAATGTCCCCAAATCTTTATAGATTTAACAGAAAATTCGTACTAATTTGTCGGTATTCTTCAAAACCAAATGTGACAAGACTTTAAAAACTACTGCAAGAGAGTACAACTCACGCCAAATTTTATCAACATCTTTCCAGTGTCCAGTATTTATTTTTTCCCAAGCAAAGTCCAGAATTATTTTTGCATTTAAAATAGTTGAATGGAGTGAATCTGTAAGAAAATAGAGAACATTATAACCTTGAATAATCAAATACATTCCTGTTTAATGGCAACTTGATTTATAAGTATGATGAAATCGAAATATAATTAATCTTTGACTTAGCGAGAATCAATGTGGAAAGAGTAATAAGTCTTTAGAAAACTATAAGATCGAACTTTAATACCTTCATTACAACTTTCAACAAAAAATGTCTTTCCGCACTGTGTTAAGAGATGATTTAATTCGAGTCCGACTAACGGCAAATTAAATGGTAAATTTATGTATTTACAAGATGATAATATTTCTCTTAGCTCAAGATCAAATAGTTCAATACGGAATTTATTTTGGATATAATCCATCATAAAATATTTTACCAGTAACGACAGAAAAAAATTAGGAAACAAAACCAAAATTTGTTTACGTCCAATCACTAGGGCAACAAACTGTGTTAAAGAAAATATTACGCTTGTAACTTAGATAGTGTTCATTACATCGTTCGCATAGAAAAATTTATTTTTGTACTTTAAGTTGGTTATTAAATTATTTAAATTATTATGTGAAGTAGAATGAAAGCGTAAAATTTCAGATATGCCCTAAGAATGAGCTTAATGTTAAAAATCGTATTAAGTTTTAAGTTTGGCAATACTTGAATAGAAAATAGCCTCAAGGCAATCGTGGCAGCAGAAATCTAATGTTTTTGTTTGTATGAATGAAAAAATTGGGAGTTAAACTGCATTTAACCAAATGTTGTAGATGATTTTATTTATTCATGGCCTTAAAAATGATGACTCTAAATTCTATCGATAAACAATTTATAGATGACAATATGCTTACAGATGAGGATTTTCTTTGCGGTAAGTGACCGGCCGAAGAGTGATGCTTTTTTACTTTCATTTTATATCTTCATATAGTACAGAATTTCGTTTTTATTCTTAAATAGTTCTATCGAGGAATATTATTCTACTTTATTTTAAATTGAGCTGTAATTTTCTTTTTAGTTATTATTTTACCTTCTTAGCAAAACATTTAAATAATAGTTGCTTTTTATTAATCTATTTTCTATGGTTTTGTGTGAACCCGTTTAGTTTGAAAAGAAATATTCGATAGTCAGTGATAAATCCTTATTACATATCTCTTTATTAAAAAATTAATTAAAGAAAAAAGCTTAAAGTATTTTATATGTTTACATTTGACAATCAGGGGTCTGTCCAGATATTTTGTGAAAGGTCCGTTTTTGTAAAATTGTGAAAAAATTAAGCGTAATTTGTGAATATAAAAAAACGTTAAGTCACATTCTTTCAACCAGCGTCCGCTTTTGTGAATCTGTGCAAATAGGGTTCTGTTATTGCAAAAAAAAATTTCAAGGAGTTTTTAAATTGTAAATAGATACAAGATTATGCTCAACGTTGTAAAATTATACTTAAAAAAATTAAATTTTCAAAAATAAACAGCAATTGCTGCTACTAAATTACAGATGCAACATACAAATGTTTTGTATTTAGCAAACACAGAATATTCATTTCGAACAAATAATGGAAGAGGCGCCTGCCTCTTCCATTACTTCAAAACTTAGTTCGTTTACATCTGTCTTTCTTTTTTTTTTTTCCCCCTGGGAAGGGTTCATTCGATTAACAAAACAATAATGAAGATAAACAAATTTGTGAAGGGTCGGATTAAAAAATAAATTATTTTGTGAAGGGTCCGTTAACGGACGCAAATTTCTTCTAAACAGACCCCTGACAACATTTTCAACGTTGAAGCTAATCATAAATTTTATGAACAATTACAGTTGTGAAACTGAAGTGCCAGCTATATTTACCCAAGCGAAGCCTCCCTGCAAAACTTCTGTTATAACACATTTAAATGAATTTCTATAAGCAAATAAACTTTCAAACAGGGTTTGCTGGTTTACATTTTTTGATTTAAACCATTGTTTAAACCAGTTTTTTTTTCTTATTGTAAAAAAAATAAATAAATACAACCTAACTTAGTTTGGTCCTTTTTTCTTTTAAATGAAAAAGTAATTTAAATAACTTAAGTTTTAATTATTGACAAAAATACATTTAGTTTAAATGAAACCGTAGGAAAAATAGTAAATTTTCTCATAAAAATCTTTTTTATTTTGAGTTTAATTGCTTATGTGAAGTGTTACTGTAAAAGCAAAAATGTGGTATGAAATTTTTAAAAATTATGAATTTTTGCTCTTCTCCTATATAATCATAAAATAATTACCATAAGTAAATTTAAAGTCAAATCATAATGTCTAAAATTTTTATAAATAATAATAATGCAGACCATCATCATATTCATATTTTTTAAAGTTATTCAAAAAATTGAATTATAAAACAAGTTGAGGTCAAAATTTTCACTGTTTTTTAAATCTTGTTAATTATACTTTTGACAATAACAAACATAAATTTATGTTTGCAACAATCAAAAGCATAAATGAGAATGAGATCCATTTCTGAATTTTAGTTTTCAGTTTATTTTTAAAATTTTTATGTAATGAGCATAAGCAAACAAATCATTATTCTATCCACACAATATGGTTTTATTGATTCAAATATAATGCTTCTATGTAAAAGAGCGGAAATTTGAAATTAACTGAATATATTTTATTTAATGCTGCATTATAAGCATATTGATATGATTAAAGTTTCATAGTGTTAAAAAAAAGTATTCCATCCTTTATTTATCATTGAATCATTAGTAGTGAAACACCTTTACTATTTTATATATACACATAACTATTCAGCCAATTTGTAGTTTGTGGTATTTTTTGTCATTCCAATATTTTTGAATTGAAAAATATATTGCCTTAAATTTTTAATGTTCAAAATTTAATTTGGGAAAAAAACATGATCATTTTATTAATTAAATTGAATTGCAAATTAAATTCAAATAATTAATAGCATTAAATAGTTCTAAAGAGTAAGATTTTTCAGATATACTGAGAACTCATTCTTTTACACTTTACTTGAAATATTCAGCTATTTTTTTTTTATTATTATTATTATGTTAGCATCTTTTGAAAGGAAAGCATGTATTTTAAATTGTGTAATGATAATATTAATTAATAGTTTTTATAATTTTTTTTAGCTGATGATTCTGTACAGTTGTCTTATGAAGATTTAGAAGTTTTAAATGAAATATCTCGTCATTATCAGGTATTGCTAATATCTTTTATGTTGCTCATTTTTATTTCTCTATTATGAATACTCCTAAAGTTACTCAAAATTTATGTATGGTCAAAAAAAAAGTATTAATTTTTGAAGGTGGTTTTTTAAAATTTCCTTGATCTAAAGCAGAGGTCGCCAAAATGGTCTATATAGACCCCCAAGGGTCTATTTAACAAAAGCAGGGGTCGATCTGAGACAGGGGGGCGAATGGAGGTCGATCCGAATCGGAAGGGTCAATTGTGGGTCGAAAAAAGAAACAGTTCTCAATACGCAAATCACACATACCTAATTAAGTATGTAAAATTTGTGAATTTTTTTTATAATTGACTCAATATCAGTTTCTTAATAAAACATAAATTAATAAACGTATATTTATTGGGGTGAAACAAGTATTTACGTACCACCGCGCAGTGGCACGAACTCAG